TACCAAAATACTAATTTTACAAAGAATTAAAACAACCTACGTGAGATTGTGAACATTCATTGTGAACCCTACTATAGTCATCTCTAACCAAAATACATCCAAATAAATTCTTTCATAACCAGCTCACGTCCCCAATGAGGCTAGGCGCCTACCCTAAGTAAGGGTAACTAAGCCATAGTCAACCACGCTGGTTCACTACAGGTTACTCGACTTCACACATAACTTTGAATTTCTTCGCCGATCAATAAATATCTAACTAACGTTGAAATGAAGTTTCGATTCCAAAAATGGCAATACTTTCCCTCGTTTCAAATAGAATTCCAAATACAAAATGGCCGTTCACACGATCATTACGCGCGTAGAATTAACACGGATAGAATCCCAAATTCGCATACCTTTATAATTTTAAAAGGAGACAAACGCTCATACTTTTTAAAAGTATACTAAAGAAAAACAACCTTTAAAAAATTATCTAAAAAAAACACGAAGCTACGTTTGCATAATCTATGAATTAATTCATAAAAAAACAAACATAAATGACTATTAATTAGACATAAATACAAGTTTCACAGATTTAAGTGTTTAATATCGCAATAAAAATATATCATTTTTTTTTACTATTCTTGAATATATAAATGCAATAAAATTCAATTACATAATAAAAAGTAATTCTAAGATATCCGCCATTTTGTTTAATTCGCGGGAACGCATCAGCTGGCGTTAGTAACACCTTTAAAATCATCTGTCCTTATCTAACAAACGAAATTCATCTTGCATTCAAAAATTTCGTTAACGCCTTTACGTACCTTGCATACTAAAATAAGTCTTATCTTAACCTAATAAAGTTCATAATCGAAAAGCATCTAAATACTCCCAAATATTTTGCATCTGGTACTAGTTGTTTCGGAAAAATAAACCTTAATTCCTTCTGCATAAAGTTGCATTTTAAATACATTTCAAACACAACCCTAGTGTTGCATTTTGAATTTCGACAGCTGTACTCTATTCGATAGATTATCGATATCTGTTACATTTTAAGAAATAAAAATAAGGCAATGCAGCTGGCTGAATGAAATAAGCGTAAGTAACTTTTTAAAATGCAAAGGCATTTGGCTGAAAGATAGACAAAGGCCTTCTGCCAGGTCCAAGCCACAACGCAGATCCCAGGACAGAGCGAGCTGGCGGAGTACTGTGGACGCCGTCTGCCCCACTTTGGGGACATAGGAATAGAAGAGAGATATCTAGGTTAACATTGTAAAATATCAGAATCACGTATCAAATGTTGACGTGTTAGCTTTTTTCTCATAAACCATACTAAAGATAAAAAGGTCTTTGCCCTAAGCTATCAAGATGACACCGATGAAAAAAAGTTAATTTTAGGATATAAACCTTATCGGTGAACAAACATATGGTGTATTGCCGTCTCTTTCTACTACACCTCTCTTTCCAACATAAAGAACAGCTGTTTCGAAACGGGATCTAAGGCTGCGCGTGCGCAAGCTTCTAGGGTTGTCAAAAACAGATTTTACAAAATCAATAAATTTAAAAAACTTAATTCAAATTTCGAGTATTTTAGCATTAGTAATATTTTGATTATTGAAATAAAGACAAAGAACAAAACTTCATTACATTGTTAATCATTAGTTGGGAGGTAACCCACGTGTATTTTTAACGAGTAGGAGGTAACCGACAAGTGGGAACACCAAGGTGATATAATCGCCCATAGACCTCTGCAATATCAAAACATACGAATTACCGGCCTGAAATTCATATTACAAATTTCTATTACATACACAAACTGGCAACCCTACTCACGTCAGCTGTTAAACGCACAAAAGGACATTTCTAAGGAACAGCTGTCCCTTTATGGCAATTTTTTTTATCCTTCTCAATTCTTAAAGCTTAGTCCCGGGCATGAACAGGAAGTATATAGCTCAGTGATTGTAGTCAACAGTCCCAGGTACGAAACCACGAGAAGCGTTACCAATATAACTATGCAAGAGATAAATCTATCTGTACCAATATAAAGTGCAAACAAGTCATGTAGTTAGACACAGTATATTTTTAAATAATGCTTTTTTTAATAGCCCTACATTTACAACACGCTTTAGGCTATATATTTTCACGCTATTAAACTTAGGGAGTTAATAATTTTAGCCGCAGGGCGGCAGACTCAATCTGCCGCCTTAGGCTTAGGGACGAACCTCCTCCCACTCGAGGGTGCTGCCAATAGCAGCAGACGCAGGCCGGGGTCGCAGACGTAAGCGCAAGCGTGCTGGTAACCCCGGTTTAAGGAGTTAGAGGAACCGAGGGGTTTAGTGAGTTATGCCCCCACTATGGGGGGAGACCCACATAACTACAGCGTCCCTCTGGGCGCGGAGGTAACAAAAAAAAGGGAGTTAACAATTTGGAAAAAATCATCATGCGGAAAAGGGACCATAAACTACAAGCTGCCAATATTAAGGAAGCAATATTATTATTGTAACGGTTATTCTGACATTTGCAATTGAGAATTTGACAAATTTAAACAATAAAATAATTATAATTTCAAGTGGATGGAGCACATGGGAACAGCTTACAAACTTGTATCCACTTAATGTGCATTTCGAAGAATCGATTTTTCTCGATAATTACTAGACCTAACGATTTGTAGTTCACATCACTAATCTATGACAGCTGTCAAAGACAATCCGCCATATTCTTCTTAACGTGTAAGCGCGGACGAACAACTGTGTCCAAACTATCTCACAACTATGCGATTGTCGATTGTTTCGCGCCCACAACTGTTTATTTGCACATCTAAACATCGAGTAGTACACCTCCATATACGCTCATAGCAAACCGAGACTAAACTGCCCCCTTAGACAAAGTAACATTCAATTATCGCTAGCGCTGATCGATAAGTCTAGAACTGATGTCATCCACTTGCCCCTATCCCTTACAGAGGGTCGGCACAGTATGTGCTCCATACATCTCTATCAGTCATATCTGAATACACTCCTTTCTTAAGCATATCTTTCACACAATCCATACTTTCTTTGGTCTTCCTCTTCAAGCCATCCACATTCAATCTTAAAACATTTGAATATTAACATTTGATAAGTCACGTATTCATTCATATACATTTTGACACATTTTGTCGACTCTACAAGCGACATCACTAATCAAAAGTCACTTTGTCTAGGGTGCAGTGGTGCGATAGTTTAGTCAAAGGTGCGCGCGCTCTTAAATCTATACTATTATAATAAAGCGTAAACACACACTTCTTTGTTGCCTAAGATGTCAGCAATTACAGCATATTTTTGAATAACTCTTTTTTTAATAAAAAGCCTTACACTTACGTCACGCTTTAGGCTAAATATTTTCACGCCGTTAAGCTTAAGGGTTAATATTTTAAATAAAAAACCTAATATGGGAAAGAGACCATAAGTTGTTGCCAACATTAAGGAAGCAAGGTTGCCATGATTTGACATCATGTCATTTCATTTTAATGTTAATATGAAATTTTTATAATTTCATGCGGATGAAGTCGCATGGGAACAGCTAGTCACCAATATACTAGGTCAGAAAAACAGATGTCAAACACCTTGTGATCAATCCAATTAAGATCTAACAAAATATAGTAATACATTACAAATAATTTGAAAAGGTGCATAAAACAGCTGTTTTACCCGACAGATGCCTAATGCAGATGGCATACCACTACCTGCAATAATCAATCTTAAATCTTAGTTACTAAGGCACAATTCACCTTAACAAGTTTCTGGGCTATAAATTTTAAGTACCTTTGAAAAATATACTTTAACTGAAAGAGATAAGATACAATTTCGTGCGACGTAAGTAATACTTAAGGTCCATCGGATTGAACGATAAATTCTAATTCCGTAAGCAACTGCTCTCATACCATTTAGTACAGTAGTACTTATGTACAATCGGGGAAATTGTCGGTGTTCCACTTTAAAATCTACAATCATTTTTAAAGACGCCGAACAAAAAATACCATAAATTACAAATGTGTCTATACGTAAAAAGCCTAATACACGAATAATTATTATTATCACTCACTGCACTAGTTAATTGTAAAAGGCGAAGTTTATGTCGTTGCAATAAACAAGACAATTTTTCTATATTGTAAACCGCGAATTTCCGCGACTGTACATATACAACACGTATACAATAACATGACACCTATAAAAAGCAAAAGGTTGGCGTTGTATGCACATACTCGTATGTGAAGATGACATAGGCAAGTGTTAAGATTGAACGTGGATGTACAAAGGTAGAGGAAGACCGAAGTACGTATTGTGTGAAAGATATGCTTAAGGAAGTTAATTCAGATATGACGGCTGATAGAGATGTATGGAGTACGTACTGTGCCGACCCTCTGTAGGCAGAAGGGCAAGTTGACAACAGTCATATTATAGCTTTTTAACAGTCAGAGAATTACTAAAGTCCAGTAGATTAATTTTAAAGACATTGTAATTTATTACAAAAACATCGAAAGACAAAACTCATAGTTAACATAAAAATTGTGTAAAAATTTCCCTTACATCCGTCGTACTTTATCTACTTTTCGATTTGCACCGAAACGCACGAAAAATGCACCGAAAAAACCGTTAAAAACGGGTACAAACAGGGCATAGATAAAAAATAAAGGGGAGAGGTAACCTCAAATATGTTACTGCTAACATAGCCATACATATAGCATAAAATAAAAAAGGGTTTGCTGCAAGTTATAGTAACACACGAAATATTTAATATTAAACTACGGTAAGATTCTAGATATAATATTTTAAACCAATAAAAACCTAAAAAACAATTATTTGCGTACCCACAATATTACAAAACAAATTCAATTCAAATAAAGAACACATTTCAAATTATACATTTGAGTTCCATTCCACGCATTATGCAAAAAACAAAATTATTTAAACCCAAAAACAGAGATCTAATTTCTTTTATAAAACAATATCGATTTAAAAAAATATAATTTCGCTTACCTAATCCCATTTTTTTCTTAATCTTTTTAAACACTTTCATTTTGGACCCCTTCTTATCCTTAACAGGGGTTGTCTCGGGCTCCAGAGCCATGGGGGGCAGGACTAGAGTCTGGGGCGGCATTTGAGCCCCATGCCCCGACCCCCTAGGACAAGCGGGGCAATGACAGCCCCCTCTCGCCTGCCTCACACTCATACAACTGCTTACACCCATCATTTCTCCCGATTTACTTGTTAAAACGCGTTAAGTAGACCAATTCTAATACATATCAAAGCACAGTCACGGAATAATTGTAATTTAAATTTTCTAAGTCACGATAACACGACACGAAGGTGATGACGCGGGTTGGGGACGCAACGCGAAAGACGTCCGCTCGCTGCGACGTACCGCGGCGGAGTGAGGGTAACCGCGTCACGCGCCAAGGGCTCGTGCTGCGTACGCACGAACTCCCTAATTTTAGGGTAACCATGAAACCCTGGAAAACGGACCTTAGGTATTTATCAACCTATTTTTTTTATTTAGACGATTTTTTATATGGCGTTCCTTATAATAAAGCTTGAAAGTCGACTTTATAAATCGCAAACATTATTTACAATTTGTTAAATTTGGAATGGTTTTATATTAACTAACATTTAAAACATTATGAAGTAGAATTACGCGTACATTTAAAGCCAAACTTAGATAACAGGATTAAAACTATTTAAAAAATACACACTTCACTTCACTTACAACACAAAAACTTATTCCATTTAGACTGTTCCTAAAGGTTTAGTCACCCTAATAATCGTCCATCCCTTTCAAATACGTAACAGATGAAGGAGATGGAATTACAACGTTTCAGCTGTTAGAACAAATGGCGATCGGGCATGAAGCTTTCAAATTAATATCCACCTTTTAACTAACAATGCCGATGTCCATGTACTTTATAATCTAATACCGACGAAAGGTTAACATCAGACATGTTACAAAGAGGAAAAGAGATAGATATATGCTTTTTATAGGTGTTTATTGGAGACCTATATAATATAGCAAGAGACTATATGAACAGCTTGAAGCTATACATGTAAATAGGAGTGCCTAATAAGAGCGGGTATTTTTGACTAAACCAACGCACTACATGCGATTGTCGATTGTTTAGCAGCCTCAACCGTTTAGTTGCAGAACTAAAAAAGTAGTGTGCCCACCTCCATATAAGCTGACAGGAATCAAAGCAAGACTAAATTGTGTGATAGTTTAGTAAAGGCGTGCGCTTTGATAATCTTACTAATATTATAAATGCGAGTTTAGATGGATGTTTGTTAGCGTTCGTAGCCTAAACTAAACGGCTGAACGGATCTCCATGAAATTTGGCACAGATTTAGAGCAGTCTGGAAGAACACATAGGCTACTTTTTATCCCGGGAATAGTTACGGTTCTCGTAGGATTATTTAATTTAGTTTTTTAATGTTTACATGATCATTCTGAAACGGTTCAACATATCTTAATGAAATTTGGTACAGATATAAAACAAAGTCTGGAATACACATGGGATAAGCTTCATCCCCGAGACATGTCCGGTTCCCGAGGGATACGTAGGTTTTTGTAATTTATATAGTTCGCATGTTTTCTAATACCACGCGGACGAAGTCGCGGGCAACAGCTCGTAAAACATAATTGTATATGCATTGCTGATAATGAAAAAAAACGTCCTACCAATTTCGTGTAATCTCCCAAACAGCTGGATCGACTTAATGAGACTTTGACTGGAAGATAGCTGTATTCGATATAACAGACACCTTTTTTAAGTTATCGCTGACAAAGTCACGGGCGTCCGCTAGTGTAGTATTAAGTTACAAGCATCTATAAATCCTTATGTAAGAAAACTAGTTTTATTTGATGACTTTGCTTTTTATTTAATTTTTACAATCATTTTCCTGTTGCACAATTTTTGGCAAAAACTTCTACGATCTCAAGCAACCTGTCTGTCAACCGATGAGTCGATGTTTGCATAACATTTAAGTTAAAAACTTAAATTGAATTTCATCAGATATACCATAAATAGAACAACAAATATAATTAACTAGCTCCCGTGAGACTTCATCCGCATGAAATTATGAAAATTTTATTTTATTGTTTACATTTGTCATGGTGACAAACCATGACAACCTTGCTTCCTTGATGTTGGCAGCAGCTTATCGTCTCTTTCTCACATTAGGGTTTATATCCAAAATATTTACCTCCTTAGTTTAATGGCGTTAAAACATATAGCCTAAAGCGTGACGCAAGTGTAGGGCTTTTTATTAAAAAAAATAATTATTCAAAAATATGATGTAATTGCTGACATCTTAGGCAACAAAGAAGTGTGTGTTTACGCTTAAGAACAACTTTGTAAGGCTGAAGGAATATTTCAGACGTTACCTAACGTTTGTCTTAGACACAAACCTAAAAGACAAGAAAATAATGTGTTTCATGGGTAAATACATATGTATTGTTAGGAATAAAATTAGTACCGTGCTATAGAATTGGCGCAACTCTAGATTATCGGCATAAACGTCACGTCCCTAGCTGACAGCTGTCAATGACACTACAAGTATGGATAGATTGGCGCGTAACTTGAGTCTGGACGAGAAGTGTTGCTCTGAGTTTAAAGCGACAGTATCAATTAAATAAGTTGTCTAAAAGTAAGTAATTTTATAGTCAATCCATAAATATAATAGGAAACGTATTTAACCGCATTTCTCTAATTATTGCCTCTAATCTAGGGAAAAACAAAATTTAGGTACATTTGTCAAGTAAAACTATAAAAACATTAAACTCAATACGAACAGCAAACGCAGCTTGTCGCATAAAAACCTCACCCTCTGTTCACCCACAAATGTCATGCTAGCTTCATATGAACTCTTTGACTGTGAAGAAAAGGACTAGGTAAAGAGCCGCTATTGTCGATTCTGTCTTATTTCATAAAGTGTGAAGTATCGTTTGTTTTTATTAGACATTAGCTTTCGTCCGCATGGAATTTAAAAAAAAAAGCAAAAATGTAGCCCGTGTGTTCTTCCAGACTAACCTACATTTATATCAAATTTCATCCAAATCCGTCCAGCCATTTCGGCTACAAACTCTAACAAACATCCATCCATCTGAACATTCGCATTTATGACATTAGTAAAGTAAGACTGGGTAATGAGTGCGTTTGACCGGTCCCGGCATTTAAGGTCAAAAAAGAGCGAGTCTCCCCTCATAAGTAATTGCTCAATTCCAGTAAGGAGTAAGACAAAGGTCTCCCCGCATTCCGTACTGCCTAAATGTCGGGAAAGTAGACCTATTGCAAGTCTGTAGGGTGACCATAACGAAATATTTAAGGACGTTTGGAGGATAATCCTAAAAGTAATTAATGCGAGAACACGTTTTAAGAACAGTCCCGTGATTACTAATTTTATATAGATTCGTAATGTAATGTCGAGCATAAAAATTAAGTAAATTTTAATCGCGTAACTATGTTTCAATTTTGTCTTACATTGTTTTTTCCGACTGCATTTATTGCATTGTTAATTAAATTTGATAATTCCTCCATTACGGATTACAGCTACTACGGGACTACAACCAGTAAACACTGCCTGTACATTTTCGAACAGGATTATCCCATATATCTTAGTAACATGGTCACCACAAGACAGATGCGCAAGCGCACTCCACCTTGCGGAGGCTGCGCGTGTCGCAGCGCCATCTGTCGGGCGTTCGTTGACCCATTGAGTTCGGTTCGGTATTATTTCTGCGATTTGTATAGGACCGGATACGTTTGTGCTATTTCCTTGTTAAAGGACGTAGTTATCAACGAGCTGTCGCCAGCCTTCGTT